CCCAACTTGGGGTTCAAACTTGACACGTCTGGACGGTTGCCAGAGCCTTTGGCCCCAACTTGGGGTTCAATCTTCAGACGTCTGGACGGTTGCCAGAGCCTTTGGCCCCAACTTGGGGTTCAATCTTGAGACGTCTGGACGGTTGCCAGAGCCTTTGGCCCCAACTTGGGATTCAATCTTGAGACGTCTGGACGGTTGCCAGAGCCTTTGGCCCCAACTTGGGGTTCAAGTTTGAGACGTCTGGACGGTTGCCAGAGCCTTTGGACCCAACTCGGGGTTCAATTTTGAGACGGCTGGACGGTTGCCAGGGCCTTTGGCCCCAACTTGGGGTTCAAACTTGAGACGACAAATTTGGTCACCAGGATGGGAGCACAAGGCCGGCCCCCGAAATGGCGCCCCGACCATTGCTGGCATGCACAAAGCTGCCCAGAAAATGACTCCAAAAACGGAGCTGCTTGCCAATGGATGAGCGGATGATGATGCAGTCGCCTAAATGCTGGCTACGGAAGCCTACACGCGCCTTCCTCGTAGTGATGCGGCTTGATGTTGTGGAATTCCCCTTCCCTTGCCTTCGCAGAGCTCATGTAGTTGTAATTGGAGGCATCTTCGTGATACTGCACATGGGGATGATGAGGGACTGCATGGCCTCTATTCGTACGACCAACCATTGCTAACATGTTTACCATTACTTTGCTACTGCTCCGCTTAAGGTTCGAAGGTTTCATCTTGGACGAGACCTTTGGGCAGTTCCTGCAGCGGCTTGCGGTCTCCGGCGCGTGGGGCGACATGTGCACGCTGTTTGCCCTCGCTGATGCCCTTGGCATTGAGAGCCTTTGTTTTGTTCGAGTCAGGAGATGTTTCTTGGATGATAGGGATGGCCTTGTACGAAAAAGTTGACCCGTTTGGTTCTACACTTTGTTTGTTTCTGGCCAAGGATAGTGGCCATCCAGGAAGAAGCAACGATAGACGTTGCTCCTCTGCGTGGCCCACTACACGGCAAGGTGCATCTCGTGCACTTCCAGGACGCGGCATGGGCTGCTACATCCACTAACGAACCACAGCCCCGGAAACCCTAAACCGTAACACCGTAAACCGTAGCCGCCACATCCTTCCGCCCTGCCAGGAACGCCACTTTGATGCCACCGGACGCTTGGATGTATACCAGATTTCGGGAACAGTTCATGCAGGATTGCAGACATGCATGACAAGGAAGCACCACCGCAGGTACTTTCATGTCCTGAGGTTTGTGTAACTTGTTCCCTGTCCGATTCGTCATGCGCAGTTACCATTCGCGCAAAATACGGTTCCCCACCCAACCCCATGCATCATCTGCCTTCTGCTTCAGCTGTGTAACGAACTCAGGCAGCGGCCATGGGCACGTTCCTGGCACTGTGCCTTCAACTCAATTATTCGGAAGTGGTTGGGGTATGGATGCAAGGTTGTTTTTCAGCAAGCAGTTCACACGCAGCTTGTGCACATTCAAGATGGTCTTGGCGCTAAGCCGAAGGGACGGGAGAACTTTAACGAAATCGTGCTGCAAACATGCACCTCAAGCTTTTCAACGTATCCAGTTTCATTATAAGTTGTTGCTTAAAGTCCTTGATTGAATTCAGCAGCGGCAGTTGATTTGCGAATGCATCTTGCCCGAATCAAATGAAGACTCCCCGATATGCCCCGATGTGCATCATGTTTATTTCTCCTGGCCTGCGTATGCCTGCGTCTACCAAGGATGTGGCAACATCATCCCTTGCGCTCCTCAGGCCAGTGAATTTGGTGTTTCAGGATTCCAAATTTCATCTGTCGCTACCAAGCTTTGCATCAAGCTTGGGCCTCAAGCCTCCAAGATCTCCGCGGCCCAGTTTTTGCAGCCTTCTGCTCTTACCATGACCAAAGTCACGCGCTACCTAAAGCCCCTGAAATGTGGAACCCCAATCAGTGACATGATACTAGGGGGTTCTCAAAATATTTGCTTCAAGCTTCGGAAAGATCGCGAGGACACTTGTCGCAGACTCCAGCGAAGCTTGGATTGTTTAGGTAGGGTTTTGCTCGGGTAGGTTGCCAGAAACATTAGTTCCTTCCGAACTTGCGTAGTTGCTTGGTCTAGGCCGTTCTAGGTCAAAATCGGTGGTTAAAGGCATGCGACGTCACCACTGGTCCAGCATTGCTTGCACGTGTTTTGGTTTAACTTCTTCACCGGTGGCTTTTATGGTGGCCACAATCCAGCGACCCTCCACGTGGAAATCCAATTTAGCCCCTGAACCCTCGACGCCAGATAGGTAAACTGCGCTACTGCGGCCTGTTTTAGCTTCAGTTGCCCCAGCACTGCGCTGAAAAGTATCAGGCAAGAGCAGGGCATTCGGCCAGAAGCCCCAGCCCTAGTGGTCAACGGAAACGGTGGGGGCCCAGACCCACCGTCACCTCTTCCTGCTCCATGAATCCCTAAAATTAACCCTACCATTCAATTCGAGTTTAGCATTCAATCGGTTCGGAGGACCGCAGAATAAGTAGGATTTCGGCTTGTAAGTCGGATTACGAGTGTGGGTTTAGTTAGGGTTCAGGGCTATGGATTATGCGAGGTGGTGCTGTAGCAGCAGCAGCAGCAGCCGTCGCTGTAGCGATAGCGGGAGCAGTCGCAGCAGCAGGAGCAGGAATGCCGTGTCCAAAGAGCTGTTCCAACCTTGAGAGGTTCAGGTTTGGAGAGTTGCCAGAGCCGGATTTCTAGGATGTCTGACCCCTAAGCACAGGGATCACCACCAATTCATCCTAATTACCGAGAATCATAGCGGATGAGTTGAAGCCTCGTTGGCTCATATCGAAGCTCGAGATTCCAAGTCCGAATGTGGGGTAGTTCTCTAACTTAGGGTCCGGTTTACAAGGGTGCCGTACTATTGCGCGGAACCTAAGAACGGACCCTAACGTAGAGAACGTAACTACCCATGTCCCAAAACCCCAAACCCAAGAGGGACTGAAAACTCATGCCCCGACCTCAGGGAATCCACGAAGATGAGGAAGCTGAGGCCGGGCCGGTACTTCCAACGCTCCAGGAGTAGGGTCGGCGTACCCAGAGAGCCCAATACCCTGCAATTAAGGAAGATAGCTTAAGTCATGATATGAAGCCCCTTTTTCGATTTAAGGTACATTCCCTCCGGGTAAAATGCTTTCTGGCTTGGCCGGTTGATCTTTCATGGCCTCGGGTTTCAGGACGTCCCTAAACCCTACGCCCCAAGCCACTCTTTTGTTGCTGTGATGGGCGACGGGCCCCTGCCCTGCCGGCCCCGCCACTGCAACATCCCTCCTTTTCGGGGACTTACCAAGTAAGCTTATCAAGTATCAGTACTGTTGTTTGGGCTAGGGCTTAGGGTTGTTTAGGGTTTAGGGGTTTGTGCGACAGGTAGTTTGGAGCATACTTGTAGTTGCCTCCTCCTGCACCTTTCCAAATCTGCGACTTGCCGCGGCCGCGCGAGGCCGGACATTCGCAGTCGGCATCTCAGAAGATTGTCCAGGGTTCACGACCTGCCGAAAGCCATACAACATGGAAAGCTTGCAAGTCAGAATCCCTTAACGTGAATCCTGACCCCGAGCCCTGGACACCCTAGGCCCCCTGAGCTCTCCAAAATCCTCGCCCCCCCAACCCTCAACCCAAAGGCTCTAAGCCTTAACTTATTACCGTGAACCACAAAACCCCCAACCCTTGCCGTAAACCCGACATTCTAAACCTTAAGCCCTAAGTCAAAACCCGAAGCCCTAAGCCCTAAGCCCTAAAGCCTTAGCATCAGCGCTCCAACTTGAGGTTGGAATGCTGCCATGCGGGCTGCCGGGGTGGGAGCCTGTAAGGTGGCTGCTGCATGTCTGCACTGGTGTTTAGGAACCGTGATGGTCCAGGGATTTCAAGTTCGGAATGGATAAGATAGGGGCCTAAATAATTACCTACGCTGTTTTGGGGTTGCTTATTATGATTATAGTATAACGGGCCCCAAAACCCTCTTCTAATTATTAAGGCCCCTACATTATCTGTTTACCAAATGGATACTGCACTCCTTCTTGGAGGATGCGCGATGATTTCGGAGGGTTTGGGGACTTAGGCTTGGTCTATAGATTCGGAGTTCAGGCTTTGCCAGGCGTTCGATGTTTGGGCATTCGGTTTGCATTGCTTAGCAGTTTGGCCTCATGCAGATGTCCGAGGAGGCTCAATATCCGGCCCCAAAAACTAAGATATGTGGGTTAATTTACCCTCAACCCTAAACCCCCAAAGCTAAGATATGTGTTGTTATTTAGCCCTAAACCCTGACACTTCATGACGGTTGTTCGGGTTCGGCTTCCGTGGTCCCGCAAGAACCGAGTGACTTCCCAACCCCTCAAGACAGCCTGGGTCTCCCAGTGGGCCCTTTTTCCGTTTTGAAGTCAGAGGTTCCTTATGAAGGTATTCACTACCCAAAAAGGGAGCCCGTTTTAATCCTAGGTTACTGGGCATCCTAGCAGCAGTGTTATGCGATATGGTCTTGTGATGCATGAGTCGGATTATCACCTGACCGCCCCTGTTATGGGTATACTGCTGATGAGTTAAATAATCCTGCATTACCTTGAGGACCCTAAACTATGGGAGTTACGGTATATTCCTTATTTTGGGTAATGCAGGATTCATATCATCAACCGCATTATAGTATACCCGAAGACCTTGCTCTATTGATGATAAGGCGCATACCTCACCCTAGGCCCTAGATCATGTTACCCCCCTTTATGACTACGTGGCAATTTGGGAAGCTTTAAACTTACCCCTTATGGTTTCTATGGAGGTGCCTATTCATAAATACTTTTCAGGGCCCCAAAACTACAACCTAGAGGATCTGCGGCCCTAAACCCTAAACTTTAAACCCTAAACCGGCATCTTGCCAATTTTTAGGGGGTGCTTTCTCTGCTGAGTCTTGGCTGCGATTTTCCACCCCCCCACCCACGGAGCCGAGTGTCCCTTGGAAAAGGGTTTCGGGCTTTAGGGTTTTAGGGTTTTGGGATTTGGGTTTAGGGTTTGGGTTTAGGGTATAGGCTCCGGGGCTTTAGGGTTTTATGGTTTAGGGTTGGGGGGTTAGGGTTTAGAGGCAATGCTGGCCGTCGTCAAGTCCGCTTTATGGTTTGGGTTTAGGGTTCAGGGTTTGGGTTGGGTGTTTGGAACCAGGCCATGTGCCTGAAACCAGATAGTGACGGAAGCAGACAAACTCTACAGACCTTCGTAAAACGCTTTTTCTGAGCACCACAAATGTCCCTGCGCCCTTACCTAAAGCGCCAAACCCTAAACCAAAACCAAGAAGCAAATCCTACAACGCCCCAA